AAAGAAAGAAAGAAGGGTATGACAGTGAGGTGTTTTGGGTATATGTTTATTTTTATCTGTAAAGCTAAATTTATCTAATATAATGGCCACTCCTTTACTCTATGATTGCCTTATGATTTTGGTGTTGAAATGTTGTCTCTGTCATAAAGGGATACTAATGATATTCGGTGGTCATTTTTGAATCATCTTCACTAGCCAAAGAAATAGTTGGATGCTCTTAAGACATAATTCCCAATATTTCAGGGATTTTTTTTTTTTTTACATGGAGTCTAGCTCTGTTGCCCAGGCTGGAGTGCGGGGGCTTGATCTTGGCTCACTGTAACCTCCGGTTCTCACTGCAGCGTCCTGGGTTCAAGTGATTCTCCTGTCTCAGCCTCCCAAGTAGCTGGGACTACAGGCACACACCACCATGCCAGGCTAATTTTTGTATTTTTAGTGGAGATGGGCTTTCACTGTGTTGGCCAGGCTGGTCTCGAACTCCTGACCTGAAGTGATCCTCCTGCCTGGGCCTCTCAAAGTGCTAGGATTACAAGTATGAGTCACTGTGCCCGGCCAGAATATTTTAGGGAAAATTTTACTGGCTCATGAAATACAAGTCTGAGAACCTATGAACTAGCAAGTGCGGAAGAGCGGGGTGGGATGGTGGAAAGAGCCCAGGGCTGGGGGACACCCCTTAATCTTACATGGCCACGAATCACGGAGTCTTGGGTCGCTTCTTTCCCTTTTTGGGGTCCTTGTCTTTAGCTCTACTCTGAGGGGGCTGGACCAGATGGTTGCCTAGTCCTTTCCAGTTTCAATATTCTCTGCTAACTGATTGCTAGCTCTCATTGCTAAATAACAGGGAGGATTTGGATTACAGACCCAATGTGTCCTATTTGTTCAAGTTATGGAGAAACACAGAGAAGACAATTGAAGGGAATCTACAAACAAAAGAATCCTGAAACCAACGCAACAGCTGCTCAATAGATGTTGAAAAGAGCCCATCGTCAAATGTACCATGGTACATCACAACGGTTGGGCGGTCCATAGGAAAGTTCTATCTTAAGGACATTGGCTTCGTCACATTGTATTTGCCAAACAAGCAGTGAACATCTGTTTATATAAAAAATTTTCCTCTTCTCTCCTTTATATTTCATCCTTTAAAAACTTTCTTAGGATACATTTTGCTTGGTCTAGTAAGTCTACAGTGCCATTTTGAAGAGGAAGCCTTCAAATTACTTCCTTAATGCATTAAAAATATGATAAAGTGATTTGCCCATTTTGCATAAGTCTCAGCCCCAGTCTTGCACAATAAATATTTGGTAAATAGATTTTAATAAAAATGTACTTGTGCTGTGATTTTGTCCCATTATAAACATATCTAGCAACTATTTTCTTTTGAAAAAAGCTAAATTTGCTGGAGGGTCTCTTGTACAGCTACTGTACAGTCTACTTTATGCTTCTGGAATTGTCAAAACAAACTTAACTGCTGTCAGGAACTCCGATCCGGTATCACTGTCAAAATGTTTTACAACGATTCGGCCAAATGTTTTTGGAACAGCTGTGCTACTAGTCAGCCTGAGTCATTTTCCTTCTTTCCTTTTGGCCCAATCCAGTGATTCATCATCCTGCTTTTAGAATATTTGCCTATTTTTAAAACCAGTCAAAGAAGGCAGCCACTGTTTAAAAGTAAACACACCACACATCAACTTGGGGCAGCTTTGTAAGCAGCTTCGCAAGCCCTGAAATTTCTGGCTGCTAGGGATGCCAGCTAAACCAGATGGCATCAAACAGTGAAATACAGGCCTGGCTTTCAGACTTGGTAGGCTTCGTACATCTGTCTTTGGTCTTCTTGTTTCCGCTGCTATTTCCTGCTTGGGTTAATCCAGCTTGATCCATTCTTTGACAAAAGTCTTACTTTTTATTTTGCTCGACTCTCTAAAACATCCATTGTATGTTGATTTCTATGTTAATCAATTAGACTTTTATTTCAACTCAAGGAGTCCAATTTGAAGCTACTTTATTTATCTGTAAAATTATCAGTATGGTCACATATGTTTGACTGGACATGGTGTGACTATAAATAAGGATGTAGATTTCCACAGTGGGCCTCATTAATTCTGTTGATACCAGGTGTTTGCTATTTACATTACTGTAGTAAAGTAAACGAAGAATTTTTTTTTTTTTTAATAATTAATTAAGCAGGAAGGAGTGTGACTTCACAGGGGGCAAGGCGGATTAAGTCTCAGGAAGCCTTGAGGTTCATTCCTGGCTGTCTTCTAGAATTCTAGAATGTCTTAGCTGCTCTCATACTTTACAGAAGTGGTTTCTCTTTCCAACAAGTGCCTGCTTGTCTATGATTATTAGGGTTGGGATGCACAAGTATAGTATGTTCCCATTTACCTTTGCCAAATCATTCTGGCCTTGGACCCAGTGAGCTAAAATGATTGTGATGTCTAGGTTATTAAACTTGTACTGCAGTGGATGTAAATGCAGTTAAGACCAAAATCAGTTTCACAAAGCATAGGTTTTATAATGAAGCCTACCTCTAAAGGGTCAGTGGTGACAAGTGCATTATTTCTGCCTTTTGTCCAATTCTTTGCAAATGTTGGGGTGGATTTAACAAGGCACAGTAATGGGCAGAATTTGTCACTTCTAGTCTAAGTAGAGCATTCAAAGGGCCTGGGGACTGAATCTCAATTCCTCTGAAGACTGTCTTCTAACCTGCAGCAAGGGGCTTGGGAAATTTCTCAGTTTCTACTTGTTCTGTGAGCTAAAGTTAAGTGATATCACTGAATCTGAGGACAGCCATTGTCTAGCATAGGTGCAGATACAAAACAGATTCAAATGTGGTGATGCACTGTCATTATTTTAAACTACTTTTAAATGGAAGTATTGTTATACGACTCTTGACTAAAATATACCAGAGACTATTAAGTGATATGAGCCTTGAGGGCTTTGGTCAAAATGAATACCGTGCTTGTTTAAATTATCTTTCTGGTGATTATCTTCAATGCTTTCAATGCCTTAGATGCCAGAAATGCCTTGTGTACTACATTTTATTCTGGACTGTACTATCAGCGCATTGGGAGAGGATACTTGTTTCTATGTTGTGTGTGGCCCATACCACTCCCTCTAGTTCAAAAAGAACATCAACCAGTTTTTAATCAAGAAATTTGGTGATGACTATGAAAACATAAAAACTATTATCTTTTCTTGCTTTATTATAATTTAAAATAGCTTTGGTTTTTAAATTATTTTTTCACCTTATATTTTGTATACATACCGTATATGTACTGTATATGTAGATGTATGTATACTGTATATGTGTATGTACACTGTATATGTATATATGCATATGTACTATATATGTATATGTACTGTATATGTATGTGTACTATATGTATAAGTGTACTGTATATGTAGTATATGCACTGTATCTGTACTGTATATGTATCTGCACTGTATATGTGTACTGTGTGTATTTACTGTATAGGTATATGTACTGTACTGCACATATGTATGTGTACTATATATGTATATGTACTGCATATGTATCTGTACTGTATCTGTGTGTACTGTGTATATCTTACTGTATCTGTACTGTATACATGTGTACTGTATGTGTATCTGTACTGTATCTCTATTATATGTATGTGTATGTGTACTGCATGTGTATCTGTACTATACCTGTACTGTACATATGTGTACTATAGATGTATCTGTACTGTCTCTATTATATATGTATGTGTACTGTATGTGTATATGTATGTGTACTGTGTATGTATATATCTGTACTGTATCTGTATGTGTACTATATATATCTAACTGTGTATTGTATATATGTGTACTGCATATGTATCTGTACTGTATCTCTATTTGTGTGTGTATATGTGTACTATATCTGTATTGTATATGTGTACTATATCTGTATTATATATGTGTACTGTATATGTATCTGTATTGTACCTGTACTGTATGTATATGTGTACTCTGTATGTATCTGTACTGTATCTATTATATATGCATGTGTATGTGTATCTGTATTGTATGTGTATGTGTACTGTATATGTATCTATTGTACCTGTACTATATGTATATGTGTACTGTATATATACTGGGGTAGGGATTGGAAATGAGTGGCCAATGAACCCTTAGAGCTGGAGAGTACCTGGAGATACCAGAGGTTCTGCTTTCTAGCACCAAGGCTGGGTCAGCACTATGTTCTTGAAGAGATTTGGGGGTGACTTGGATATTCTGACCTATATTTTGTTCAGATTTCCTCAAATGCTTCTTAGAACTTCATCTTCCGATCCAGCAACAGCTGCTTATTGCCAACCAGTCAACGTAAGCATGAGTTAGGAGGTCTTTTGGGACTCTCTGGGCTCTGGCACTCTCTAACAAAGCTGTGAATTCTGCCGCAGGGTAGGAGTGCTGCCTGGTGTATTGGAAAGAAACGCCCCATTTGGGTTGCTGCCTGTTTCTCACTGTAACCCAGAACGAGTTTCTGGTTAACTGCCTGTTAGTGTGGTTTGTGGTAGGAGCAGACAGCAATACTGTCACAGCTTGTGGCACTTGGAGTCATTCAGAGCAGAACGAACGCCTCTACTTTTCACTAACATGTTCTCCTGTCCCATTAAAGTCCTTCTGGCCACCTCATTAGCACCTTATTAAAGCATTTTGTTTCATATCATATTTTTTGGTTTTGGCCAATGTAAGAGTATTGAAAGACAAGCAGTCCTTCTTAATTGGAGAGCTACCAGCCTGGACATTTGAGGATTCTGATATTTGCTTGAAAAATTTTGTTCGGGCCAACTAAGCTCTCCATGCATCTGTGTGTACAGAAAACGAGCAAAATTGTCCTTTACATTCTGTCTGTCCCCAACTGAAGCGATGAAAATGACTGAAACAGTGTACACTAATGGTCTAACTATGGGGGAGTCCAAGGACGGTCCCAACAGGGCACCTCTCCTACAAGCAAGAGCTCCATAGTGAAGAATCATTTCATGTTCTTGTTTTAGATGATACACCCCCTGAAGACTCCATTCCTTTGGAATTTCCAGAATTAGACCAGCAGCTACAGGTAAGGATTTTTCTAAAGTCTCTCTTCTTTCCTCCTTAGTGTCAAAGTATAGCGAGCTGGGCAGAGTGTGGCCTGACTAGGGGAGACTCACTTGGACACAGAATGTGGGGCTTTGAAGTCATCAAGGATTACATTTCTAGAGCTCCAAAGTCAGGCTGAAGCCCTCGTGGAATGCCCCGTCTGGTTATCTGGCTATGGCACCAGGACATCAAGTGCTTATAGTGTAAATTGCCTCCTATTTTTAAGGAGTTCTGGAGCCTGGGAAAAGGATTGGTCCCTGCTCTACTTTGGTATGGCTGTCTCTATGCCATTGCAGTTTTGGCTGTGTTTGGGGTTAGTGGTTTAGTGATAAACTCCGCAGAGAAAACTTACCATGTTTGCCAAGACTTTGGAATAACCTTCCTTTCTCCATTCCCTGCCCCTTCCCCAGTTCTCTGACAACTTTTAATGGAATATAATTATTTTAACTTAAACCTTCTGAAACTTGACTTGTTGGACCCATGAAAAATTATTTTGTATATGTAGTTTCTGAGTGATCTGTCAAAAGATATTTTAATACACCAGAATTATTTGAAAGGAGCTCATTTATCACATTTTAATTTTCTTTAGATTATCCATGGTGATTCCAGACAAAAATGGCTTTCGGAAGAGGTTCTGTCTAAAATACCTGGATACTGGCCTTGGGCCAGCCATTGGCTTGAATACTTAACTTTGTAGTCACATTTAGACAAGTCCAGTAGGGGTCTTGAATCCTGTACACAGACATTTCTTGATCGCCACTTTTTTCTCCTAAATATTGATTTTTGAAAGCCTTTAGAAGGGATTTGTAACCTCCAGTTCCCAACAGGCCCTGACATACCCTATTATCTTATACACAGCAGCTTTTCCCATTTGTGGGTGTGCCTTGTGTCCTAAGGTCATTTGAGTTTGGGATTCTTATTCCTGGACAGCCCTCAACAGAGGTGGAAGAAGAACCGAGAATGAGCCCTTCCACAAGCCAAGATAGTGTTCCCTTTTGTTTGCTTCTGTTGTTACCTCAGTACACAGGCACTGTGTTAAAAACCTGGGTCAGGTTTGAAAAGCTGGTGTTCTACTGCCAGGGTGGTCTCTAAAAACCAACTGAGGGCGACTCAGGTGTGACCTGGCCGCTGGGAGGAGTCCTCATTCTCACCTTTGTAGCAGTCCTGGGTATTGTCTCAGCTTTCCAACAGAAAGCTGCTCAACAGAGCAGTATAGCTATGTAGGTATTACTGAAAATAGTATAGGAGGTCGGAGGGTTACGCTGATCACTACACAGCTGTCAAAAGAGCTCTGTCATCCCTAAAATCTCCTCTCTAGCTATCAGCCATCATGTCTCCTTTTTCTCTGTCCTCTATGCAGGGTTCTCAACCCAGCTCTCCTGGCTTCTAATATCTAACTATAGTCTCTCCCTCCCCTGCCCCCACCAATATCTCTTCTTTTCAGCATGAAGAAGAACAATTCAGACCTCCCTCTGCCTTTCCTTTGAGACAGAGTCTCCCTCTGTCACCTAGGCTGGAGTACAGTGGGGTGATCTCAGCTCACGGCAAACTCCATCTCTTGGGTTCAAGCAATTCTCCCATCTCAGCCTCCCTAGTAGCTGGAATTACAGGCGTGTGCCACCACACCTGGCTAATTTTTGTATTTTTAGTAGAGATGGGATTTTGCCATGTTGGCCAGACTGGTCTCAAACTCCTGACCTCAAGCAATCCGCCCGCCTCAGCCTCCCAAAGTGCTGGGATTGCAGGCGTGAGCCACCGCGCCTGGCCTGCATTTTCTTCTGATGTGCTTACATTGCAAATGATGGTTCTTGCTTAGGTTCTGTTCTTACACAGGGGCTGTCTATGTGCTGCTGGTGATGTAATTGGGATTGCCATTGAAAGTAATGCCATTGGCCAGGTGCCGTGCGTCACGCCTGTAATCCCAGCACTTTGGGAGGCTGAGGCAGGCGGATAAGACCAACCTGGTCAATATGGTGAAACCCCATCTCTACTAAAAATACAAAAAGTAGCCAGGTGTGGTGGCACGCGCCTATAGTCACAGCTACTAGGGAGGCTGAGGCAGGAGAATCACTTGAAACTGGGAGGCGGAGGTTGCAGTGAGCTGAAGGTTGCTGTGAGCCAAGATTGTACCACTGCACTCCAGCCTGGGCAACAGAGCAAGACTCCGTCTCAAAAAAATAAAAAAGAAAGTAATGGCAAAAACTACAACTTCTTTTGCACCAACCTAACAGCTATTTTTTCCCCTAGTCACATTTTTTCCTCTTTATTCTATGATCACATCATTTTATTATCATGGAAATTAGGTGAAAATAAGGAGTAAACATGTTTTGAAAATAAAACACTAAAAGCATATTCAGGTTCTTGTTCTCTCCTCAAATTATAGATCATTAATTCTACTTTTTTGTGTTGGAACAAAATTTTTTCCTTTGGGAACTTTAATGGTCTTCTCTGGCTCATGGATCATTCTCCACAAGACTCACAGTAGCCCTGGCAATTATCCAGATAATTTTTTCTGTTAAAGCATTGCCAGGTCCATTTGAATTTTATAGCTTTAATTCCACTTGACATATATGAGAAATTAAGTCTATTTAATTATTTTACTCCAATGAAACTATTTCATCTTCATTGATCTTTAATGAATTAGGCAGTTGAGAGGGTAGTTTCTGGCTCAGGGTTTTGATTTTTCTCCCCTTAAAGTATGATAGTGCTTTATCTCTTTGTGAATGGAGAGAGCGTTACCAGCAGTACAACTAAACACATTTCAGTAAGTGCTTGTTTGTTGAGTGAAGGATAGGAGTGAGTGTTACAAACATTTACCAGTTGTCAAGGCATTTGGGTAGGGTTGCCTCTGTCTAGAGCTGTTGCCTGTTATCTTTATTCTGTACTCCAGGGCGTGAGTGACTAAAGAGCAAGACGGTGATGGTTGGGAGGAGAAATCTAACAGAAAATGACATCTGAAAGCAAATGTTTATTTCTGTGCTTAGCATAAGCATATACATTTAAGCCTTCTGTAGCAGGAAGTCTCTGTATTGAAAGCAATGCAAATGCTTCATGTACAAAAAGAACAATCTATTACACAGAGCGGGCCACCTTTACAGTCAGTCTCGTGTGCTTTCATCACACAGTAATGGCTCTTGGAATTTTGTCGACTATCATCATCTACTATGGAAGAGTAAAAGTTGGATTACAGAGGCATATGAAGTGCTTTGTGGTTGCAACTATTTGCTTAAGAATGAACTGAGTCTTCATGACCTCTATCAGAGATTTAAACATTTTCTTGGTGGAAAATAAATGATGCCAGGTATTGCCAGCCCCATTCTCTGCAAAACCTCAGATTTAAATCCCACCAAAGCACACTGAGTACCTATTAGGCAAGGGATGTTTCCCTACATATGATCTCATTTGATCCTTACGTTAATCAGTAAGCTAACTATTATGTCTCTGCTTTACAGATGAGAAACTTGAGGCCAAATTTTGGTCTAAATACATTTACTATTCCCTTTTTTCCCTCACGCTTTTTAAGGAACATACAGGCTGCTTAAATTACTTTGATAGGTGGAAACTTTTTTTGTTTGTTTGTTTCTGTTTTGCAAGGTTGCCATAATGTTGTTATAGAATAACCTTGTAAAATCTGTTCTGACTTTCTGATATCCATTACACATGCGTTGCTAGTTTATAAAATGCTGCTATAAAATAGCTATTTGGTAGATACTCGATCACTAATTTGACCCCCAGCATTTTTCTGTTGTTTTGCCAAGAATGTGGACATGTTTGAGCATGTAATTCGCAGTGCTGCTATTTTCACAGAAGCCAAAAAAAGCCTTGTGCAAGAATAGCAGTGACAAACATTTCTCTTGATGTCTCTATTAATGCAAAATATTGAGCAAGAGACTGCAGGAGAAGGTAGGTGTTAAAATGAACATCTCTTTATAATGTTCATTTGTGGGCCTTGGGCCTCCATCCAGGGGTAGGTGGAAGGTCAATTCTATTTGTGCAGATTCCTTTCTTGGGACTAGATTTCTAAATTTCCCATGGCCATCAGGGGCAGTATTTGAGTAGAGCTAGTGTAGATGATATAGTCAGAAGAAAGGAGGCCCAATTCTATGTCCATTTCTAAGAATGAATGAAAAATCACTATTCTCTTTCGTTTTTATTTTTTGAGACAAAGTCTTGCTCTGTCACCTAGGCTGGAGTGCAGTGGCATGATCATGGCTCACTGCAGCCTTGACTTCCCTGAGCTCAGGTGATCTTTCCACCCTAACCTCCTGAGTAGCTGGGACCACAGGTGCATGCCACCACACCTGGCTAATTTTTGTATTTTTCATAGAGATAGGGTTTTGCCATGTTGCCCAGATTGGTCTCAAACTCCTGGGCTCAAGGGATCTACCCACCTCAGGCTCCCAAAGTGCTGAGATTACAGATGTGAACCAACGCACCTAGCCATTACTTTTCTTCAGGTCTCAGCTTCTTTCTGTCTGACCTGTCTCTCTCTGTTCTAAAAGATGGTGGAATCCTTTCATGGTCCCAGGGTTTGGGTCAAGACCAAGCCTGTCTTACTGCTTAAGCGTGTTATGTTTTTGGAACCATGATTTGACTTACACATGATCCAAAACTATGCCACAACGTGGTCTTAACTGCATTGAAATGAGAAATATGTTCTATTGTCAGGTAGAGGACATGATGACTAGTAGATTGTAATTAAAAACATCCTAATGAGAATGACAATGACCAAAGCATGGGCATTAGCATTGGGTTGGCCTGGATTTGGATCTCAGCTAAATTTGTGATTTCTGGCTTGTTATTTACTCTCTTGAAAGCTCACTTCTCAACTGCAAAGTGGAGATAATGATATCAATCTCACATTGTTGTGGGAATTAAATATGGTAATGAGTAGATCTAGCACAGACCTTGACAAAATCATTGCTCAATTAATGTAAATTTCATTCTCTGGTGAAATTATTTATTGAATGAAATACTTAA